GCCCGCGTCGCTGCGTTCGGTGCCGATATGTACTCTATTCACAATCCGTTTCATCGATAACTGCGCCAATTGGCGACGTTCTGCAAAAAAAACGAGTGCCCAAGCCCACTCCTAATAGGTGAACACTTCTCGCGTCGTTGTTTCCTTGCACCAACCCCTAAGTTACTCGTTCACACCCGGTTTGTCCTCTCTTTGCGGCGTCNCCTAATAGGTGAACACTTCTCGCGTCGTTGTTTCCTTGCACCAACCCCTAAGTAAGTCACTCGTTCACACCCGGTTTGTCTTCTCTTTGCGGCGTCCTTCAACTGTCATTTGGGACATGTGTGTGTCGGTTTGGTTCTGCTGCTGCTTTGTTCGTTTTTTGACCTCGTCCACACCGAGTGGCCAACTTTGGCACGTGTTCAGACAAGCTACAACGCATCTCTTCCTCTACAGCTCGCGGCTTTCACTATCTGCATATCACAGAGGGTGTTCGCGTGTGGTTTGGAGACCACGACAGGGCGTAGTGAGGAGGGGCTCGCGATCGGCGACAACTCGCGTGCTAGTTCAAATATTCTGCTGCTGCTGTGTTCTTTTTTTGACCTCGTCCACACCGAGTGGCCAACTTTGGCACGTGTTCAGACAAGCTACAACGCATCTCTTCCTCTACAGCTCGCGGCTTTCACTATCTGCATATCACAGAGGGTGTTCGCGTGTGGTTTGGAGACCACGACAGGGCGTAGTGAGGAGGGGCTCGCGATCGGCGACAACTCGCGTGCTAGTTCAAATATTCTGCTGCTGCTGTGTTCTGAGTGGTGGGGCATTTTTTTCTACTTCCTTCATTTATTAACGCATACGGAGAGCTGACAACAACGATTCGCATCAACAACATCGCATCAACAACATTTCGGGTGTGTGTACCAAAACAAAAGCAACACATATTCACGGGGGGCGCACGCTCCAGCCTACTGCAGGTACTTTCCGCAGCACGGGTTATTATGCTGTTGTGATGGTGCGCGCGGAAAAAACTCCCCCCACTCGGGGTCTAGTACACGTGCTGCGCAATACCTCTTCGACCTCGTGCAGGGGAGGAAAGGTCGCGAGCGGGGGCAGTGCCTTTTGGGTGGTGTTGCGTTGTTTCAACGACGTTTTTTTTTCGTGTTGATTCAATATACATCTGCCTTCATCCATCGCGGATTCTTTATCACATCTCATCGTCATCCTCCCCACTCAGCTTGTCGGACAGACCACTCTCAGACTCCGACTCCGACACAACATCGTCGATCACGCTCCTAACCTGACACTCGGGGCCATGATTTGTGGCGCCGGTCAGCAGTGAGGTGGTCGCACGTCTAGTTTGATCACGAGGGAGCACACGCATCAACCCCATCGCCGTGTGTTGTCGGTGTATGTGTTGTTCGCGCGCATCCATGCCCGCTCAATAAATATGCTGTCTGGGAAACCGTAGACATACAGGTAGCCTTTCGCTCACGCTATGGATTCATTGCTAATCTATCTTAGACTAATTTCTATAGTTTGTTAGAGATAGATTTGTTGTGTGATATCAAGAAAAAAAAAGAAGATACAAGCCGTCGCAGTACAGGGTGGGTCCTACGTCGAACATCGAACATCGAACAAGCGGATAGTTCGATGTTCGACTTTTTGGGTCCATTGAAATTTGCAAAAAAGCGTGAAAAAAAATCCCACACCCACACGTTTCTGCTTTCAACAGCCCGCGGGGTTGTTGGACCACGCCCGGAAAACCCAAGGGCACTCGACTCTCGAAAAGATACGAATGTCGAGGAACAGGGACGGCGCCGGGAGGAGGAGCACCAGAAGCAGCCCCACCAGCAAAAACAGCACCGGGTGATAGTAGCTAGCGCTCGAAGCCGAGGGGTGGAAACCCTTCATCCCTTGCGGCCTGATGCCCACATGCATTGCTTCGGGACCCTGCAGACTCACACCAACACTGCTGCTGCTGTTTGGCTGTCCAGCAATGATGTGTGGTTGCGACGGGAAGGAACCCCCGTGTGATTAATCTCACACCTGGCCCCGCTTGTGCACGCGGGGCCCTGTCATCCAGCGCAAACTCGTCGTCGCTCTGTGCAGACATGGGTATTGCTGTTGCTGTCCTCCTGCAGACCTAACTGTCGTTCTCCCTCTCCCAAGGATTGATTGTGTTTTTTGGTGGTGTGTGTTGGGTGCACGTGCGTGATGCATGCGTGCGGGTTTTCTTTTTTGTCGCCAATTCGGTCCCAATAGTCTAGTCCACGGGACTGTAAGTTCGGTATAGGTTTTCGAGTTTTTGTGGAAAGATGTTCTAGGCGGAATCGCCTCTGGAAGATCCGGCGTACGAAAACTCGAAAACCCTAACACATTAGGGGACCCTCTATAGTGCCGGGGCCCGGTATAGTGCCGGTAAAATTTCTGGACACAGACAGCGCCTTCAATAGTGCCGGTCCGGCACTATTGATGGCGGGCCCGTTATAGTGCCGGTTGGGCGCCGCTGTGCCCCCCAATAGTGCTGGTTCACTACGGCTGTGGACACACACACAGAGCATCTTCGCAACCTACACCCTAACGAAGATCCTGACGATATTGCTACTGCGTGGGATTCCAGCATCAAAGTCAGCAGATGAGAGTGGCAACGGAGACGCGGCGTTCTTCCTAACGAAAGCGAAGATGGCGATGATTGCAGAGCATTCCGCTAAGCGGGCGCGCCAGGCAGACATGCGAGAGTTTGTTATTGCTACGGAGTAAGGTTGAGGAGTACAGTTGTTGTAGCAATGGTTGTTTGCTTGTCTTCCGGTGCGCTTCCTGTCGTGCTTTTCTTTTTGTTGTGTGTTTCTTGTAATATCCAAGGGGGTGCGCCAGGCAGACATGAGGGAGTTGCTGCTGCGTTGCGAGGGCGGCGGGCACAGCTGTGGTAGGTAGCATTAGTTGTTTTTTTTTCTCGCGGTGCGCTTCCTGTAGTGCTTGTGTTCTTCGGGTTGTTTGATTCTTTCTTGCAACATCCAAGGGGTGCGCCAGGCAAACATGAGTGAGTTGCTGGTACGTAGTGAGGGCGGGGAGAATATCTGTGGTAGCATGTAATGGTCGTTTATTTTTCGTGCGGTGCGCTTCGTGTCGTGGTTCTCTGTTGTCTTGTTTTATCTGGCAACATCGAAGGAGGGCAACGAGGACTTATACGTCCACGGTAATACACACATATTCGATCCACGATCCACATCGTACTCTGTTGGCCCCGCAAAGCTTGAGCGCTGCACCATGAAATCAACACCTCCTCNNNCTGGCCGTCGGCGTAGGCAGTAAAGCCCATCTCATTTTTGTGCGTGGAGGCAGACACCATCAGAAAGGTGGACGGGCACTACACGGCCCTAGGT